TCTTCTAAAAGAAATTCTCCTGCTATTCTCCTTATTAAATGTGAGAAAACCACCATGGAAATCTGCTTCTGTAAATCTGTAATTGTAATATGTTTGTCTGACATAGGTCTCTATTTTGAATGATGCATTGAGTCTCAATGCGACCTGTAAACATAAATGTAAATAAATAAAATAAAATAAAACATTTGGTCTTCATTGAAGCTGACATACACGGTGTATTTCATTGAGGTCAGTGGAAACCATAATCATTACGTTAATTATTATTAATTGATGTCACTGCTAATACCAGGTGTCCACAGATTTTGGAGCTCTGTTGCATGAATGAATATTTGCTTTTCAGGGGAAAAAAGTATAAAATCTTAAAAAATCCACAGTAGAAGAAAAAGGAGAAGTTTTAAAACAGGACCACAGTGAAAGTTTAAAATAACAGGATCCATTTTTACCTTCCAGCACTTCAAGTCTGGCACTGACGTTGACCTCGCCTGCACTATTACTGGCGATGCACTTATAAATGGCTGCATCTCTGTATACGCGCAGCGGCTGGATCCGCAGCACCGACCCCAAACCTCCATCAAATTCAATTACCTAGAAGAAGAGCCACAGTAAACAGGAGGTTATTTTTCAAGGCTTCTTTTTCTTTTAGACGACGTTCGCGTCATTACAAGATTTCAATAAAACCCAGTCGTCCTTGCAGACTACACAGAGCTTTGTCTTTCTTATGTCAAAGTGATGAAATAAATGTTTATAATAAATAAATAAACAGCGTGATTCACTGTGGGGGCTCTGTGAATTCGTCATGCATCAGCACCCACCTCAACACGCTGGCTGCTGATCTTCTTGCCTATCTTAAACCAGGTGATTCTGGGTTTTGGCTCTCCTCTGGCCTGGCACACAAATGAAGCAACTCCACCCGAGATGCCCGTCTGATTCACAGGAAATGTGATGAAACTTGGAAGGCCTGATGAAGATGACGTGACAGGACAAATAAGTTACTGACATGGAGGTTCAGAGTGATGGGAGACGTTATCTGTGGGTGTCACTATTCTCCACACACACCCTGAGAAAACCCAGAGAAGCGCTGCTGCTTCACCTGCAGCTCAGTCATGAGACACACGTCCAGTCTGTGTGTTATTGTCACATTCTTGTCTTTGTTTTGACACATTGTTTAAACCAAAACAAAGTTTAACATTAACTTTTTAACATTAAAAATGTTTTTTATAACAATGAAACACAATTTTGTGTGATCAGGTAACTTACTGAGCCTCTCTCAAAATTAGGAAAAGGCCACTAATATGTTACTACTATGTTATAATGCTGCACTATCTCAGAGACACCTCCAGCTCTTTAGAGTTTTACAGGACATTATGACTGTGCACATGACAACACAGTCTGTGATCCATTGTCTGTGATGCTCCTGTTGTCCTACAGCAATGCTGAAACCAGGACAGTGTAGAAGGTTTGAGTGAGTGCTCTGCTGCAGAGCTCTCTAACTAAGTTCATTTTGAAAGCTTTTACCTTAAATGCTTACACTGAGCTTCAGCCAGAGGCTTACCTTGGCTTTTCTGCAAGTTAAAAGCCAGACTGAAAAAGAAAACAAAACAGAAATAGGAAAAAACACAATGAAAAGGAACAAAAACTGAAGTGTTTCTGGGGACACAATAACCTGACGGACCAGACCTGGACATGACAAACTAACAGTAACCGGCTAAAAGCAAGAATGTATATGTGCATTATATGAATCATGTGATTAATATACACATTGCTTTGAACCTTTTCTCCTCATAACACTAATGAACCGTCTTCTTCTCCTGAACGAGTCTCAGTGCGTCCTAGCTCGGGTCCTTGGAAGACCACAAAGGCCAGAAGTGAGA